CGGCTAGTTAAAACAATAATAATGCTGAACTCTCCAGCTTCTCCATTCTTGTACGCTCGGCAACTACTTGTAAGTCGTTAACTTGTACGTACGAGGTTACTAGATTGTCGCCTAAACGGTGAGATCGCCAATGAGTTTGCTTTTACGGTATTGAACTCTGATTGTGGGACTGCGGGCAGGATGTCGGAACCGCAAGAGTCAGGAACACCTGGTGGGGTAAAGCTTAATCTAATCCTTGGAACATGTTCAGGCCTACGAAGACGACAGTTCAGTCAAAACTTTGAACAAAATTCCTTCCTAGAACCGAACAGCATAAAACAAGGTCAAGATTTACAATGCTGGGTTGTGGAGAAATGCCTCACTTTTAGGCAGCACTCAAACACGCCTCGCGCCTTTGAGTAGGGTGCGCTCTTCGTCACGTTGCCGGAGCCGCACCTCACTCTGTCTGCATATAAGCAAACCCGCCTTGAAAATGTAAGTTATGCGGGTCGAATACCAATGTCAAGACGGTAAGTAACAAAAAAAGCAGAGAAAACGCGCCTGAAATGCTCCATATAAAACCCCGAGCTGAACCGCATTTGTGCGTGCATGAGGCGAAGAAAGGGCGCGGTCGTACGAGTTTTCACTAGTTAGTCCCAACTCTTTCTCCTATGCACCCCTCTTCATGGTGAACCTAGTAGTGGAATAACCGCATACCGGGAAGCTTTGAGGAATGACAGATGCGCGTTGCCGTTGTCTGTGGGCGAGACCGTAGACTAGTCGCCAGTGGGTCGCGCTTTGCTTGGGTATTTCTCACCTGCGGAAGTGGTACATCCTCCCTCCTTGGGGACAGGCGTACCTTGCCTAAAGACACCACCTGAATATCAAAAGAATGCGGAGCATGACTTCAGGCTTCACGCCACAGATGATGCCATTGGGAGCGCGAAGTGTGGCGCAAAAGCAAATAGTGGTTAGTGTTTTTGTCAGTATTCCTGCTGTTGCTGCCCTTCCTACTATATATAAACGGCAACGTCTGTCTGTCTGTCTGTCTGTCTGTCTGTCCGGAAATTCGGAACTCACCTGAAGAGCCAGTTTCAGGGGGCGGGTCAAGGTTGGGATGGGTAGGGCATGGGCCAAGATGTACGGAACACACGTGAACTAGGCTAAGCCCCGCCCACTGTGGGCGGGGCGTGCGCACAGTTGTGAGCTACATATTTCAAAAATTCGTAGTCGGTTCCAAAAGAGCCCGGAGAGTGGAAAATGTGGCAAATGATAGGCAATCAGTTGGCGGACGAAATGAGTGAGACATACCCATTATGGGCGGGGCGTTCCACAGGTGGGCGGTGCTTGCCACAAAACATTCAAAAATTCGTAACTCGGTTCCAAAGGAGCCTGGAGAGTGGAAAATGAGGCAAATGATAGGCAACAAGTTGGCGGACGAAATCAATGAAGCACACCCCTGCGGGGCGTTCGCCGAAGTGAACGGTGCCGAGGACAAAAACCCTCAAAACGCATCGAAAAACCCCACGAAATGGAGAGTAAGGTGAAACTGAGCAATGAAACTTCTCATCGTTGGCATAGCTGTACCACAGCATGCACCGCTCAACTACTATTGACCTGAAAAACACGTACCTGAATAAGTACATAGACAAGTACTGGAGTGACATCATCCGCCGCTGCTGCTCCCATACCAGGTGCCATTGAAATAAGATTGCTAATCGTTTCACAACACCTGCACCAAAAGAGTGTAAACTTTCAAGAAGCGCGTGCACCAGTGCCGGAAAGGTCTAGCTGCGTCAGGTCCTCACCTCACAACACATGCCAGTTTATCTCTAGCAGACTTGTAAGCATTAATAATACTGATCTCTGCTTGAGCTGATGGCCAAGGCGCCTCACCATGAAGAACCTATAATAACTTTCAGATCAATGTAATACTTAACTGTACGTGTACTTTTAAGAACATTCGTATGAAGACAAAGCTCACACTGGGAATTCTCAACATAGGATGACCTGGATGGATTGATTTGGATAGACGTGCGAGGGATTTTGAGAACAACCTGAAGTGAAAACGAAAAGGTTACTCATTGTTTCACAGTGGCATTTACCTATTACTAGAGAGTGGGGAAAAAACTCTTGAATATAAGTTCACGAAAACAGGCGGGGTACAGTATCCTAAACTGCGCGTAAATTCGAATGCGTAGGAGCGCCGAGTGCACACAGTACCATCCAGTTCTCATCTGGGCAGCACCAACTTGCAGGTGGAGAGCGAAACTGGCGTTCCTCTCGCCTCTCGCTTCTCCTATCCCCACCCCTTCTAGCTTCCTACGGTTAACGGACCCCTCTGCATCTTCGCGACCGCATGCGTCGGTTACATTCGAAAAAGACTCACTCAGTTCACTAAAAAAGCAGCCTCCTGTTAGAATCACAATCTTTTTCTCGACAGTGGCTTTACTTGCAGCAGACATTAAAAGAAAAAACAAGCCTAAAATAAGAAAGAAACACTAACTCGTCACGGTGTCGATCAGCATCCAAATTGGGATAAAATGCCAATGCATGAATTTGAGCCATAAACACTCGCTCGATAGTTTTTCGAGCATAAGCAATTAAATGAGCAGGAGCCGCCTGCCACATAGACGAAACAGGCAAACGAGTATACATTCCTGTTAAAGTCCGCAGGAGACAATCCGTCTTTTCATCCTAAATAAGACTTTACTTGTTTACCAAGGCACTCAAAATAGTCTCAAATTTTATTACAGTTGACCACACTATTCTCGAAGTATGCTTCTCAGATCGTGTAGCAAATTCCATACGTGGAAGGGGTACTACCACTCATAAATACTAATAAGCTCGGTGCTAATCAGTGAAGAAGAGCGGTTTTTCGGCAGTTTCTGCCAGCCTTATTGTGAACTGTGAACTCCTACAAAATGATATCAGCTTCATTTTACGCACCATACGCGTACACTCCACTCCAACAAATTGGGAGGGCGTGGCTCACTATAGTCTTGTCCGCCGCGTATGACGGGGCGTTCAGGAGGGATGGATCTGGCGCGGGCGGCGCCAAACCCGTTTTTTACCGGTTTTCGAAGCGAGAAAGCAACACGACTGTATTATATCGTTCATATCAGTCGTCTTTGCCAGCTGTTATCGCTTTCCCGCTTTAACATTTTAGGAGTACGAGCTGGTGGAGTGCCAACAGCCTCACTGACACGCCCCTCATCCGCAGCGAAGAAGACTGTACAGAATTGGAGGAGAAGCACAACTTCAGACCTGTACAGGACTTTAAGGTTCTCCAAAAAATAGCACACAACGTTAGCACGAGTTGAATAAATTACCTTCCCCCCTAGTCGACAAAAAACTACCTTCCCCCCTAGCCGACACACCATCAGTCTTCGATGAAGCACTCAAAATTCCAAAGAAAAATTTAAAAGTTCGCTAACCTGTGCATTGAGAATTACAAATTCTTGCAGAAAACGCTTCATTTGTTGATCCTTATTTTCTAAATAAAACCGGACCAGAACTTCCACGAGGCATTCTTCAACCACTGCTTTCTCCCTGAAATGATAAAACCTTTCAGTCTTCCATGAGAACGGTGGAAAATGAGGTAGGCTAACCGTTGGGTTCTCAGAGAAAGCTTTTCAATGTAATTCGTCAAGCGTAGAAGCGTTATCCTCGACTGCTGCAGATAAAGTAAATATGATGAGCGCTTCCGATTCTCTTCCCGCAATGTACGCAACAGTTTGCGAATCCTGTAAATGAAGGAACATTCGCTATGAACCACCACACAACATGGAAAAGGCTATTAACGCTAGCTTCAGCAGATCTTCGAAGATCAAGGAGCAGGCTGGGGCATTTCCAGCAGATACCTTTCAAGGGTGACCGCAGACCGACAACTTGCCGATGACACGCGCCATAGCGCCTAAGGCATGCTGCGAAAAATACACTTGAACCGAAGAATGCTACAGCTGCTAGCCATAGGGTTACCAGCATTGTCAGGATCTATTTCGCGATCACAAATCAAACAGGTCCTCTGAACGACAGGCAAATTAGAACCCGAGATCCGAGTGTCATGAGGGATGGATTTGCCGCCGCACCAAACCCGCTCGCTTCCAGTCGTTGAAGCGCGTAAGCGACAGCAACTGGTGAAAAACAGTCGGTTCGGCGCTGCGCGAAACCCAGCCACGCCCCCCTCCCCACCCTCATAACAAGCCCCGTCATGCGAGCTAGACTATAGGTTTTTTGGATGGCTGGACGCTTATGATCGTAAACGATAAAAACGTACCAACAAACAGGGACAAGAAAAGAGTGAAGCACATTTCTAGTGCTAGTTGTCACCAGCTAAAGCATTAACGCAGCACTCCCCTTCTAGAGCTCTTGACGCTCTCGGGGACTTTTCGTAATGGGGGTTTCCCCATGCCAGGAACAACTGGCACGAGCCTCAGTACCGTCTTGTTCTAGAGCTCAACGTTGCTGAGAACTTGATCCAACTAAAAAGGTAGAACCAGCTCTACCTCAGGAGCCAGCTGCTGGGCCAGCGAACCCCTGCAGCTGGCTCCTGAGGTACAGCTCCGCTCCACTTCACGCCTACGATCAGAGCCGGCGGCAAAAGTGGCGCCTGCCTTCGAAATGAGATAGGCTCCTAAGGCCAAGCACTGGAACGAAATGGAGACTCGGATAAAGGCTCTCTAGCATGGAAACCCTGAAAAAACCGCCCAATTCCACTGGGAAATTCCAAGGGGTTCACTGGATCGACTTCCTACATAAATCTGAAGATAAAAGTGATGCACAATTAGTAACCGCTGACCCTTTATTGTCGAAAATTTGCAAACATCGCATCACTTCTCTGGTGTGAGCCACAAGACTTTGTTCCCTATTGTTCACTGCTTCAGCAAGCAGTGTGCGCAGCAACATCACCAGCTGTTCGCGTTCATTCTCAAGTTTCATTCCACTGAAACAAAATGATTATATGTATCTAGAATACACAACCTAAAGGCATAAGGCACCACAATTTGACTATGGTCACGAGGTCGATACGCCTACGCCTAGCAAAAAGGAAGACTATGTGCCTTACCTGGCAATATGTGAGGTCGTTCACCGCGAACGGCTCTCCAGGGAACTCAATAAGACCCCACAAGTGGGAAGGACCGCCCTTTTTCTAAAAGGATCCTTCCAAGCACAAGTTTCAGTGTCATGTAATTATTGTCCGATTTTCGTTCGAATCTGAGTTTTCTGTTCCAACTCGGGATATCACTGAGTAGAGCATTTGACTAAGAGTTCTGAAAACGGAACAGCGAAACAGAACAACCAGCTACAGTCCAAATATATCGTACCCTTCCCTAACCTAAAATGCGGCTTACGAATAGTCTGGGGGCAGTGCAAGAGGGACGATCGAAATCCCAACGCTATATACGATGCGAAGCGGTCGTTGGAAAGATGCCAGAGGAGAACTCGTTCAGATGTCCTTTTATTGCCCAAATATTAGTCCACCACCGAGGACAAGAGCTAAAGCAATGATCCCTGCAAACGATATTGCGTGTGAAGGGTCACAAATTGTAGCGCAACGAGGGCAGCCTTTCCTGCTAATTTTGGCGGACTTAGGATGTCGTCATTGGTGGAGAAGGCCGCCCTGGCACGCTCTAATCCGCGCCCTGTAACACACCCTATAGTTTGCAGGGACCATGAATGTACCTTTCCGCAGTCTTGACCGCTTCACTTCGTTTTCTTTTTGCCGTTCTGCCACTATTCTGCACCCCTGCCCTCATTTTGGACCTAATGTTGACTTCCCGTGAGTCTGCCTACGATGAGAAGTAAACGAGAAGAATATGTCTCAAGATGCTCGCCCTTAGAGAAGAGGAAGGTTATGAATACGAAAGATCTCTCGAATGCCCTACCGACATGCGCCATCGAACGGCATTGAAGGCAGGTTGCCGACGCTACTCAGAACGAAGACGCAGCTTCCTTTTCGCATCCA